ACACAGTCTACGACTCGGCTAAACAAAGAGGAAAATCTAGGGATAATTTGACAGCAACAATACAGAGATCACCAGCCAACACAAACAGAAGCAAGAAGCCTACAACAACTGGCTCAATGACAGGGTGTCAACATCCAAGCATGATCCCTTCAGGAGCCTCAGAAGGAAGGTCCAGGCTGTGATACGTCAGATGAAGGACAAGTAGTGGAAGGCCAAGCCTGCAGAGTCACAACACTATGCAGACGAGCACAACTTCAAGGTCTTTACTAGCTTGAAGACTGTGTATGGACCCTCCTTCAATGCCATGGCACCTGTTTGATCATCTGATGGCACTCTGCTCACTGTGAAGAGTGACATCGTATAGTGGTGGTGTAAAACACTTGTCAGTTGTTGAACAGACCAGCCCAGATAGACTAGTAAGCAATCCTGAACATGTCTCAGCGTCCTGTCTTAACACATGATAACCCAGAAAGCAATCAAGCAGCTCCAGATCAGCAAATCACCGGGCCCTGACGGGATCCCGCCTGAGATCTTCAAGGTCGGCAGAGAAGGTATGGCAGTTTTGGGAGTCAGGGTCAGTGCCACAGGCCTTCAAGGATGCCAACATCATTCACCTGTACAAGAGCAAAGGTGACAGAGCATCATGTGACAAGCACAGGGGCAACTCACTGTTGAGCACAACAGGGAAGATCAAAACTCATGTCATCCTGAATTGTATTGTACACCACTTGCTGGACGATGTTGTCCCCAAGAGCCAGTATGGCTTCAGGAGCACTAGGAGAACAATTGACATGATCTTCGCTCTTCGCTAACTGCAAGAGAAGTGCCGGGTCTGTGGTCCATACTCTCCAAGCTTGGCTGTCCATCGAAATTCGTCAAGATCATCAGGTCATTCCATGATGTCATGATGGCCCTTGTAGTGCCAGACCCTTATTGTACAACGATATGAAACAAGGCTGCGGCCTGGCACCAACCTTGTTCAGCCTCATGTTCGCCACTATGCCGTTCTCTGCACTCTCCAACACCGATGCAGGAATCACTATGCTACAGATGTAATGGCCGCTTCTTTAACCTGAGACGTCTGAAGCCAAACCTAAGGTTCTTGAGGCACTTGTGACGGACTTCCTGTTTGCAGATAACTGCTCTTGCAGCACTCAGGAAACCAGACATTCAGCTGTCCAGTGGCCTGGCTACTGCAGCCTAAACATTTGACCTGACGATCAGCCTTTGGATAACAGAATTGATGCTTCAGACTGCATCTGGCTTCTCTCCCCCAGAGCCTAACATCGAAATTGAAGGCACAATGCAAAACAATGTGAACAGTTTTACCTACCTGAGGAGCTGCTTGTCCTCAACTTGTAGCAAGGACGAAGAAGTCTCCAACAGACTAGCTAAAGTAGGTGCTTTTTTGGCAGGCTTTGGAGTAGTGTGGGAAGAGTGCAGCATTTTGCACTGCACCAAGTTGACAGTCTATAGAACAGCTATTATCATTTCCCTCCTCTATGGCTGTGATACTTGGATACTGTACAGGAAACAACTGAGAACTCTGGGTCAGCTTCATCTCCCTTGCCTGCGCAAGATCATGGGTATCTCTTGGGGTGACAGAATATCCAACAGAAATACTTCGCAGAGCTAACATGCCTGGCTTCGAGGCACATCACGAAAGCACAATGGAGGGGGTTGGGCATATGATACAGATGGACAACTCGTGCCTTTCAAAGATGGTCTCTAAATTGGCTTCTGGCACAAGAAACATCAGACGGCCACTCAAGTGCTTCAAAGACATCCCATTATTGCCTGTGGTATCCCACTTCGGGCTGGGAAACTCTTGCCTCTGACCACAGTGCCCGGCGTCTTGCTGTCAACAAGGGAGACAATGCCTTTGAAGAAATGCGCAGATCCTAGACCAGAAGCGCCAAGCTCCCAAGGAGAGGAGATCGGACCCACAAACTGCTGTAGCATGTCTTGAGTGTGGACACATCTGTGCATCAAACTTTGGCTTGCGATCCATATGAAGTGCCACTGATGTCTTCATCTTTCACGATGGACTTACATGATGATGATGATATATATGTATATATACATATATATATATATATATATATATAATATATATATATATATATATAAGTGATATAGAAATAGATAGATAGAATATATATATATATATATATATATATATATATATATATATATATATATATATATAAGCTACTTCAAAGATACATTCACCATAATTCATATTAATTAGTAGACTGTCTATGAAAAATAAACCATGTAGTCCAAGCTTCCATCAACACACAACGGGTATGTGTGTGTGTGTGTCCACATAGTTTATATAGAGACTGAGAACAGATGCAAAGACAGATACTTACATGCGCAATGTTCGACTGTTTGCTGACATCCTTCATGGCAGGGAGATGAGACGAGAACTGCGTGACGAGGACGGACCGACTTCGCGTCACAGAACGTGCCAGTTTCGCGAATTTGCTGAGTCCAG